CCTATGAGAGTGCATTGAAGAAACCCTGCAGGGTGATATTGAAGCTTCGCCGAAAATTGAATAGAAGCATTTCACTCATACAAGATGTATGCAGTAAAAAACACATTATTAACTCATTGCGCTCACTCCTACATTACCCTATAAAATTCTCTAGTTTGGAAATGAAAAATCCACATATATATTGTGTCGTTAACTTCAGATACTAATATCTAAATTTCATACGCTTTCTGTCTCACTACTCCATATAATAATAGTTAGATTGTTATTTCCGAATGCAGTAATAAGTATTTCATGGGCCACGAGTAGCACTTGGTATTCAGCAGAGGTATGGGCACTTAGTGATTGTAATTTAGAGAACTGATACGACAAGGTTAGCTTTTTTCTAATATATACGCAAATATCAACACAATGAAAAGATAATGACGAATTGTTATCACAAGCATTCTATTTACTATGGAGGGAATGTTATTACAAGCTACCTTTACACTAACATGTACAAGTCTTTCATGTCATTGCATCAGTAATATTAGCACACTAATTGTATTACGGCCAAGTGCAAATGATTTAAAGGCATCGTAACAATAACTTTGCGGGAGGTAGATGTATTGAAAGACTGCTTGCAGACACTATGTATGACGACATCTAGTAGAATGTCTACGGAGACTGACAGCCTGCAATGAGGAAGACAAAAATGAAACGATTAGGAGACACATAACACATAAGATAAGTATTTTTGACATAAGTATAAAACTTGGGCACTGTGGCAGAGTATAACTCCATTATGGATACGATTTTATTTTGATAAATCACACAGTGTTGTACAGCAATGTTACTTGGTGGCGTTTTGAGCACAAACTATTGCTCATGATCATGTCAAGTCGGTCACACAACTTTTTGCCTCATTCATATACATGAGTATTTTAGTTAAGCGTACTACAGGGATAGAAGGTCACTCATCTCATTCATTTCTATTCAAACTATTTCTTACGTCCGTGTTACTGACTTTTGGTTTATGTTTTCCTCTTCGGTACACTTTATCTGGACAGTTTAAAGAATCGGGAAATGCACAGAGTACTTAGGAAACGGCATGAATAATTGTTTAGGCTAATTAACACTAGGCAGTTGTGACACTACGCATCTGCAGTGACAAGGCTGACTGACTGAGTTTTAGCATGGAAATGAGCACAGAAGTGTAGCAGTTCGATTTTTGACGTCCCACACTTGAAAAATATTATATTTAGTTGGTAATAAGCAAAACATATTTCATTAGATGTGTTTCAACTTCGCATTTGGGCTACACGATTAAATCAACTAACAGCAATATACAATTTGACGGCTCGAGATATTTCTGACTTTTATGAGGGCTTAGATCTTTATCTTGAAAAAGATAGTGATGAACGCCTAGACAGATCATGCTTCTACCTTTAAATATATACCATTCACTCAGCCCATTGTTGAGATGCGACCATGTGAGCTCTGCACAGATTTATGGGGCATTTTATAAACTAACTTGCTGTCCATTGTCGGATCTTTACATACCACTTCACAATGTCTTATCGGATTCATTTTCTAATAACGTCTTTACTTGGTCCTCATTATATCCCATTAAACCTAACATTTTATAGCTTTTTATGAATTTGATTCGACTTATTCTATTCCTATTCTCTGTAGGGTACGGTTGTTCACCAAATAGACAAAAAGGCATGAAATAAAAACAACTGGCTTGAAAATAATTGTATTAAAGCCAAAAGTGGACATCATGATAGTACGAGATATACGTGTAGCATTATACATTGCAAATGAACGTTGTCAGCCTAGGGACCCAATCGGACAAATGTGGGGACAATGTGGGGACATTTTGGGGAAAATGGGGACAATCATGGGGACAATATCTGAATAATGGGGACAAACTGGGGATAATGGGGACAAAATGGGGACAATATTTGATAGGTGGGAACAAAATGTGGATAATGGGGACAAAATGCGAATAATGGGGACAGAATGAGGAAGCATTTGAAAAGTCTTACTTATCTCGGTAGACTACTGAAAAATTGTCAGTAGTAAAATGTTTACGTCGGCAAAACTTCACCGAGGCTGGAAATTTATAAAACGCATGAATTAACGGCTGTATTCTTCGTGAATTAATGAAATCTAAATTTCTTCTTGAATAATTTTTAATCTCACTAACCAATCAGTTCAGTTAGTGCCAAATTTCTTTGCTAAACGTAAATTACAGCGCTACATATGTCAGGGTTTGTTTTATTACACTTACACATCTTGCGCGCACTTTTAAACCGTTCAGCATGCAGGTAGGTGGTCGTTGTTCTCCCTTTTCTATTTTTCTCCTAGTCTAACACTAAATACCCTATACTAAGCCTGAAGAGATTACGTGAGCGTAATCTACAATTGACCTGCCATTACACTACGTTTTACAGAAGGTATAAACGTAATTATGCGCAGATAATGGCCGAGATAAATGCAGCGTCGACATCAACGGAGGCTGTTTCACATGCTGTCCTTCCTGTTGAGGTCGAGCCCTCTTCAGTGAACACTGATAGTATGAATAATGAAATCGAGGTGGTGCCATCGACACCGTGCACCAGCGTAACACCATGTGCTAGTACTTCGGAAATATGCACACAAGTCTCTTCTGAACGTGATGAATTGACAAATATGCTTCTGAATATCCTAGTCACCACGAACATATCACAAGCAGACGCTAACAGAATCTTGGAGATATTCCGTGCAAAATTGCCTCAGCTACCAAAAACCGTTAGAAGTGTACTGAGAATGTGTGGGTCATGCGATTCTAGACTACTGGGAGAAGGAATGTATTGCCACATCGGTCTCAAAAAATGTTTGCAGCACTACATGGAGATGTCGTCTGTGATTGAAACTCCCAGCAACATAATTGACCTGCAGTTGAATGTCGACGGTTTGTCCATCTCGAAGTCTACTAACCAGCAGTTATGGCCCCTGTTAGGTAGGATTACGGCACCGTTTTTAAGCAGTGTTTTCTTGATAGGTATATATGGTGGTCCTAGCAAGCCCAGCAGTTACAAAGAGTTATGCATTGACTTAGTATCTGAACTGAAGGAGATATTAAGTCAAGGCATACACATTACCAGACTTCATAGGCATTTCAACGTTCGTTTAACAGCCGTCATCTGTGATGCACCGGCTAGAGCGGACTTGAAGTATATAGTAGGTCATAATGCTAGTTCAGGTTGCGACAAATGCACAGTCACTGGAGTTAAAGTTGATGGAAGAATGATATTTGGAAATGGCTTCTTCCCAATAAGAACTGACGACAGCTTCCGTCAAAGGATGCAGTCAAGTCACCACCGTGGAGACTGCATTTTTGAGGAATTAAACATTGATATGGTTAAGTGTTTCCCCCTTGATCCAATGCACCTAGTGTACTTAGGGGTAGTTAGGAAGCTTGTAAGTCTCTGGCAAGACTTAGCTAAAAAGAATGAGATGCACGTGGACCGTATTATGCTAGGAAATATTGACGGGAAGATATTAGACTGTTCTGGAATGACACCCAGGGACTTCCCGAGGAAATGTAGGGGGCTAACCGAAGTCAGTCGGTGGAAAGCCACAGAATGTCGCCTGTTCCTCCTGTACCTAGGACCAGTTGTACTTAAGGACATAATGCCACCGGCAATTTATCGAAACTTCCAAAGATTAAGTCTAGCAGTGTACCTTTTGTCTCACCCTAGATTTCATAGAAATTACTTGGAAGGTTGCAGAGTTGAGTTAATCAACTTTCTTAATGAGTTTGAGGTTATATATGGTAGAAAGCACCTAGTTTATAACATCCATTGTCTGCAACACTTGGCCGAAGATGTCAATCAAATGGGACCGTTGGAATCTTTTTCGGCCTTCCCATTTGAATCTTATATGCAGACAATAAGGCGATCAATACATTCCAACAATGCAATCGCTAAGCAAGCGGCAAACCGTTTTGCTGAAAAGGTGTTCCACGACTGCAAATCAGGAGGAGTACGCAATGAAGTTTTAAATGAGTGTGAGGTGGATGCACGTAGGCAAACAGTTAATACTAGGAATACACTCATTACTTCCTCTTCACCAGATAACTTAGTTATAGCTTACGGTAGACCGGGTCTGATAACTGAGATAAATAGGGATGGACTAATATTCAGACCTTATGCAGATTGTGGTGATTTCTTCGAGCAACCATTTAAGTCATCCCACATTGGGATATGGAAGTGCTCAAAAGTTAGCCCATACAAGGTAGAGATTCGTCCGTCAGACATTACTTGTAAGTGTTTTGGAATGCGTACAGATAGGTATGTAGTTGCGGTGCCTTTGCCTCATACTTTTCCATAACCTGCTTAGACAGTTGTGTCAATCGTCGGCATTCCTGCATTCAATTGCCAAGCGGACTAATAAGACAGTAAATTTTGTTTATATCATATCATTTCTTACAGAAAGAAAAGAAGAATTATGCTGTTTTACGGAAAGCTGGGTCCAAAGAATTATTCATAGCTGCCAGCAGTTGGATGCTATCCGAAGACCTGTGCTTGTATCATAGCAGTATAACAGATAATGAAGTTGAGGCTTGCGTAAGACCTCGACCGGAATGGGTGCTAACGGATTGTCAAATGTTAGCTGAACTAGGTAACTATTTACGTGTTACTTACATTACTGTAATTAGACTCTTTCGTAGAAGCCAAGAATACTTTGCAGGCTACTAAACGAATATACAGTGTACTCTCCAATTCAGATAATATGGAGGAAACATTACCTCTTACCAATTCCAAACGTCCAAGGTAGATTCTTCTTATTGCTTAATCACAGAATGCAGAGTTGAGACGAAGAACTCGTCTTACGCTTACGACTCAATGGAACTTGAAGCAGTGGAGGCACAGAAAGTTTGTTTGCCTTCAAAATACCCGACAACAAATTTCATGGAAACTGTTATGTCACCGATAGCCAGGTAACGCATTCCTTTAATATCATTACTCCTTCAGCACTTCCACTCAACAAATGCCAGTGGCAACTTCTTCACCTATAGCGCAACTAGTTCAGCAGACTACGTATGTCACTTTTCATTAGTATTTACTTTGCAGTAAGGAAAACTGTGAATCAGCTAATAAAGTAGCCAATGAGTTGCAGTCAATTAGAGGGGAAATGCAGTCCCTTAAAGGAGAAATGAAAGCAGAATTTCAGTCGCTGAAAACAATGATGGCGCAATTGTTGTCAGTGAATAAGTCAACGTGTGTGGCCGCCGTTGGAAGTGGGAAATCAACCATTGACAATAGTCAACTGCAATTCCCCGTAACTACTGAAGAAGAGTTCACCCAACTAGAAGCGTCACTTAAAAATCCCAAATTTAAAGAATCATTCGTAAGTTCACAATAAACCTTTACTTAATTTCAGATGATGAAAATGGTGGAAAAATTATCTTTCAATCCGGAGTCTTCGTTGAGAGCGATGCTAAATTATGTTATGGATCCTAAGCTGTCAAGTCGTTTTACAGCATTTGGAACTCCAAAGAAATTGGCTCTCACTAAATGCACCTTTTATGCAGTTATAACGTGTAAGCTTGTTTTATGTAATTATTTCTTTTAGCCGTCATTGTCAGCAAGTTCGTTTCGGCTACAGTTTCTGATGACGACGTTAAGAAAATTCTAAAAAATACTGTAAAGGCATACTTCCATGATATACGTGATCGCGTAGACAAAAGGGATAGCCGGCGAAGAGTAAGTAAGCGCTTTCGGTTGAATTAATGCTACTATAGTAGCATTGCAGTGTATATACACTGCAAACCCTTTCATGTTATAAATATCAATTAACTAAATTGTGTTTTTATTTTTTAAAGGTTGCAGTTGACAATAAGAAAAGTGATCAGAGGATCTCTCCTGTAAGTTACCATTTAAATAAGTACATGCTGTAGAAATTAATGAAACTTAAGGTCTTTAAGTGTGAGTATTTCTATTATATAGACAAATAATTTTAATTATACTCATTAACGAAATAAAATTTAAAACCTAAATGAACACGTTTAGTATTTCATTATTACAGTGTCAACTGTCTGTATAAGTGCCAGTGTGGATTACTATCTTAATGATTAATTTTTCTTTCTTTTCAGGACACTTCAATGGATCTACTTGACGATGGGGACAATTAGAACAAGTGCAATGAGATATTGAATAACAAGGCTATCATTCCAATTGTGTGTAATAAAGGAAACTCGAGTTTCCTTTATTAATGCATTTATTAGTGATACTTGCACTTACCCATTTCATTATACTTTTTTGATTCACCTTAGCACATTTACTTTTCTAAAACAGCTTTCAATCCCTTGTAAACGTTGTACTTACCTCAATATTGGTTGGTTATCGTATGTCGACAACCACGGGATGAAAACGAAACGAAGTCGATTTTCCCGCTCAACCTGGAAGACAATTGTACAATTCAATAACTATACAGCCTAGTTCAGACAATGTGTATTTATATATATATATCAAATATTTAACTGTTGAAACATTATTAACTTGTAGACAATCTACGATTTGATATTATATCATACTTGATCGTGCCTGTAAAACTGGCATGCATTTTCATGTAAATTTATATGTTTATATGAGAATATACATTATTATTATAACATAGTCGTTTTTGAGTAATTCAGGAAAGAATAAGGGGGAGCAGTAAAGACCAATGCAAGAGTTAACAAGTTGTAAAAAGAGAGGTTGAATGATTCCTGACTGTCTTGAATACATAACATGGTAAGCTAGACAGAAGGTTTTCTTAGAAATCGACAAGATATAGAATGACCAAGAAAGACCAGAGGATATACTTGCTTTAAGGTATTTTATGTTAGACTTAGTTTATGTTTCAGTGCCCTCTTTGATACAAACATCTTGTGAACGACACAGTTCTTGCAGTTCACGCTTATGAGTGAGGGGAAAGTTAACTGCCTGACATTTAGAGGGATTTAACGCAAGACCATGTACCTTAGACTACAGACAGGAAGCAGTTAAGTTTGCTGCAGTCACATTGTAACATGACACGAAGTGAGACGGTCAGATCACCAGCGTATTTGACGAAGTTGCTCTCATTAGAAAGAGAAAAGTCATGCAAGACGAGAGAGAAAAAAGAAAAGGAGTGATAAAGATAGCCTGAGGAACACCAGCTTCAGCAAGCGAGGTGGAAGATTTACCCTAATATACAGTATGCTGCATTCCATTTGAGAAGTGATAATGCAACCAATCAACTGCCCAGGACCCAAGTTTGCACGATCGAAACCTTATTCAACTAAAGTCATCTAGGCGCTGAGTCAACAACAACGGCGAATGCTGAATGACCGAAAGCTAAGCACAAAAGTGACAAAGCACAAATCCAGTTGCAAAGTAAGAGACGAGTCCCGGGTGGAAGAAGAGATTACTGAAAGGTATCTATTTTTCATTTGGCAAAGAACAAGACTAAGAACTACACTTATCATTTGTTGAAATTTTGGAGATCATTTGTCAATGTTTCGCATTTAGTTATGCCCAGACTGTGTCATTCTGACTAGCTTTCAGTATGAGTTTGCAGAGAAGTCCACCTGTTTAATTTACCACATTTCATGTAGCACACAAAGGTAGAGACATAAAACTAAATGGAAGTTTAACGAGCGAAAATGTGAGGGAGAATAAATAGTGACAAGGAAAAACATGAGTTGAATAGATACGTGAGATCACACAGAGTGAATGCACCTGTATCAGTACCAAAGATTTGCAGTCACATCTCCGGTAGTTCTTCCAGCTGACTGTAAACAATTTTATGAACCAATATCACTTTTTCATTTGGCCGACCCAAACACATTTTAAACCTTAACATGTGCTGGCTAGCATTGTCCCTGGAGAAAGGCGATGGCTTTGTATGCCATCACGTGTTCTAGCCATCTCAACCTATTCAGCTTCCCTACCTTGAAGACTAACACTCTCCCCACCTAAACATTTATGCGTAACCTCAACAGAACTCGCCATATTATACTGCTATACCAATGAGATAGAACGCGGACACCCATAATCAAACACCGGTATTATTTTGATATTTTACAGCATCAGAGGTTACTTCTCATAGTCTAGGTGGACAATATCATCAGCAAGCCGTAAGTTGATGAGAATATTTCCTGATAAGTCTCTAAAGTCAGTTACAGACTATCCTATTAATATATGTGTGATTGAATTGAACTGATATAAGGAAGACAGTTTAAGAATTCAGCCTTGTATTACATCCCACTCGGAAATGTGTTTTCTCGGAAAATTCGCAAACAATATTCAGTGAATAGAAAACATTCTGTAGGCTTAATGAAACTCGTAAACTGACGCACTACTTTTGCAGGAACTATAGTATTTCCTCAATAAAATGAGAATTGAATATTTCGGCTGCATAAAACGCGTAAGTAGTATCCTGGGAATACCAATGACTGCAACAAGTCTAGGAGTTATACACTACAACTTTTACTTTACTGAATACACCAGCAGACTTTACATAAACACTTGACAGATCAAATTTATACAGGAAGTCAGTAAGATTTAGTAACCTAAAAGTGCTTTCGGTTTCCACAGGAGCTCTCCGTGCCGAATTTATTCCTTCAAGGGCCTAAAGAGATTAAGGATTCAGTTAAATACCACTGACGTGGAAGAAATTCCATTCTTCATTACTAAACTGAATGAAAAGAATCATGTTTTTTATTTTAAAAACAGGAGCATTCGTAATGTTTTACTTTATGTAAATGCAGTTACATACAGTTGCACTAAGAACTCAACGCAACTCGATACACCATAGTATATATACAAATAAACTGAAAAATAATGTCCTCCTTACCTTCTGAACAACTTGTCCTTATTCCAGGATTATGATTTTTTCACCTATGAGCCTGAGTTATGTCTACGAAATCGCAATATTACATCAGTTAAATCTTCCCCCAAAACCAAGGCCACTTGAAACCAATAGCAACAAGCGTCACTGAGGGGATATGCAATAAAGTCGCTGTAAGACACGTCTCGTAATCCGTTAATGCCCGGATCTTGCTACGCTCCGGCTCAGGCTGTCGCTTGAAGTTTTTCAGAAACGCTTAGTAATAACGGACGAAAAAACCAAAACACCAATTGTTGACTCGAGGATTCTTTATTGTAACACCAACATATAAATAATGTATAACTAAGGCCTGTGAACAAATATTACAATAATAAATCACAATATTAATTCTGACGGTTTTCTCCTGACTTCTTTCTGAACAGCGACCGATGAGACGATGACTGTCGTATTGATGCCTCCGCGAAAATATAGGGAAGTTGGGTTCGAGCAAACAACCATGAATTGATCGTTCAATCTTCAACTACATTGACACTCCCCGGCAAAAAAGCGATCCAACCCTTTTTTCCATCACGACCAATACACGTTGACTTGGATGCCATTGCGAGAACCTGGGTCACACGGACAGAGCTGAAATGGAAAACAAACAGAAAAGCCAACGCACCACAAGCATACACACAGCACAATCTCACACATCGCTGACGACCTCAGCCTTCCAGTTAAAGGTATCCTCTTGACACATCCTCTTGCAACACAATCGCCACTTGCTAGAATGACTCTTGCAGAATGCAACGTGACCACAGTAGCACCTCATAATACTCTACGCACATCGTCTTATCTACTCACTACCAATTACCACTGCAATCGCTTGTCACTCATTCTGCCTCAATTCTGGTAACGATGACGTATGAGAGCCTCAGCCGTCTACACTCCCGTTCCCCGGCGTGTGGGACCGCACCTAACAATTATCTCCGTATGCATTTCATTCTCAGCAATAGCCTCCCCGGCGTATACGACCCATCTGCTGTCTCTAACATCAATCAACTCATTCACGGATGTAGAAGACTCGAAACAACTTCAGGAGTAATCACGACGAAAATTTTAACAAAATTATGCAATAACATTAAGGTACGAAAACAACGAGTAAACACAATTAATCCAAAATCACAAATTGATATGACACACCACACATATATACAAACAGTACACACAAACTCGCAGATCGTGTCTCGAAGGAATTCCTTTGAAGAATCGAACGACTTACACCAGTACGCCTACAACCCTTCACAGGTTGACGATTGTAAGTTGTGGAATGTCCGGACATAAGCAAGATTGACCAACAATTACAATAATTGGAACCCAAACAAGTATTTAACACAAACATATGTACAATCAATACATCAAATGTTGTGGATTCTGCCTTGACGAACTACCCTTGAAGAACTGTAGGACTTACAGCAGTACGCCTACATTCCTTCTCAGGTTGATGATCCAAGTGGAAGTCGTCCGGACACAAACAGAATTACCAACAGCTAGATGACAGATGATATCAATTCAGTATATACAATATGAACATATGTACAAAACAACACACCAAGCACATTGGACTGCTCATTGAAGCGCTACCCTTTAAAGAATTGTAAGACTCACAGCAGTACGCACACAACTCTTCTCAGGTTGACGCTGTAGGTTGGAAAATCGTCGCAGAGTTCTTTTGCTGATTTTCTTCTATCAGCTATATCCTCAAATCCGAACGGTAACACGCTCATGTCATTGTATCGTAGAATATAGATGACTAACAAACATACGACGTATCTGGTCAACCAAGCGTAGAAACAGAGTAATTTACACCAAAGATAATAGCACTCAACTAGTAGCTTGAAACTAGAACTTGACCCAATTCCAAAAATGCCCCAGATATTGCTTGTTCAAAGAGGACTTGACCGGCACCAGGAAAGATGGACGGTGACTATCCAAACTTTCACCAACTGTTTGAAACTCCACAATCTGTTTCTACCATCAGAAACTGTCAGCCACGTCTCGTAATCCGTTAAT